CTTTATTGACACACCCAGAAGCCTTTTAATCTTTGAGGTCTCTTAATCCAATCAAGTTGACAATTCAAATTAAGCATTACAAATATTAAGTAAATAATTGGACTAAGAATAAAATCTAAAACTCTAGTACATATATGAACAAATCTGAGCAAAATTCTTAAAACAAGTTGATAATGTAATAAAATTATCTATCTTACAGACATCATTTCTTCTGAATCATAGAAATCTATATGAAAAGCTAACAAAATGATGACGATGGTGATGATTATAGCCAGAAATTCCGACACTGACTTAAAACTCACCTTTATGAGTTTGTGTTCTGATTTGTTTTACACATTCATAATGCAGAGAAAAAAAAACTCATATGAGATCCTGAGTGAGGCCAATACAAGTACTTTTAATCATAATTGCATCTGGTCAGTGAGTAAACAGGTAGCTGCACTGACCCTAGCCATGTGCTGCTGGCACTAGGGAAGACTTGGGAAGGTGCTGAGGGGAAAGTGGCTACATTTTTGTGTTCTTGTATGTCTCAGTTCAGAAATAAGACATCAAATGAATTATACCAACAGCAAGAATTTGAATTGCTCATAAGCATCGTAAAGGATTAGCACAGTGTGCAGGAGTCAGTGTAGAAAGAAAGTGTAGAACCAGTTGAGGCTAATCAGTTGGTGATCTTTCCATCAGGAAATGAGTTCAGATGAATTTTTACTGAGCACAAAATTAGGATGGAAATGAGGGATGTGAATTCCAGACAGAAAAGGGTCTGTGCACAAATTCCTCAGTGGGGAAGAACTTGATGTGTTTGGCCCTGCAGGAAGGGCCAGATGGTGAATCTGAGACAAAGAGAGATGAGAAGAGGAGCAGGCAGGAGCCCAGCTGGGTAGGGTTTTGCAAGTCTTGACAGGAAGACTAGACTTGATTCTTGCTGTAATGGGAGTCTTAAAAATTCATTCTTAAAGACTTTTAAGAATAGTGACATGACTTAATTTGTGTTTTGACAACTCCCCATGACTGAGCAGGTAGAATGAATTGGAGATGGTAAAAAGTGATAGTTCCTGGCCAGGCTATCAGTKCTTATAAAAATTCCACCAATTTAACTTATAAAATGACCTGCCTATTTGTAGAAACACTTGAAAGAGTAAAATGTCATATGCTTGTTCTTGAACAACAATAATGGTAAGTGCTGGAACTCTAAAACATGTTTTCCCCTTTTCTCCCTCCAAATTGCCCACATAATTGATGCACAGAACTGTTCCCTGTGAGGACAAGAGGCAAGGCTTTACCCCTCCTCACTCCACCAAAACCTCAGGAGGCAGGGTGGCAGGAAAATAATTTTTATTCAAGCCCAGTTTTGATGGAAGACAGAGGAAACCTTTTTATTTCAAATTATCATCTTCAGAAAACTCAAGGGAAAGGGAAGCTTTTATAAGAGAAGTGTTGGCAAAGTGGGACAAAAGGCAGTAATAGATTGTAATAGTAATAGAATGTAGATTCAGCTAGGCAGTGTTATGGAACATGTGTATTTGGGGTCGTTTCTGTTCTGAGTCCAAGGAGGTTGGCAAGTTAAAACAACTTGGAGCTTTAATTTTCAGTAAGATAAAGTTGCCCTTACTTTCAGGGATATATATATATATAGAAAGCAGCCTAAATATGTTTTAATGGGCAAATGTTATATTTATTCATTTTCATGTAACAAGCCATTCAAGCATACATAAACACACAGATGTAAAAAATATTGTGTGACAAAAGGATTTTAAAGTGGAATGCTTGTAAAAGACAAACTAAGGATTTTCAAATGGGTAATAAACATGAAAAGATATTCAGTTGTATGATTCATTAATACCATTATATGTTACCTCTACACATCTGCTAATAAAAATACAGYTGACTGCGTGGGCTCTCTCTCATCCAGCCATCCAGTGAGGAGGTCCACAGAACAGAGTAGAGGAGAGTGTGGCTGCAAAGTCACTAATCAAGACCTCCGGAGACCAAGCAGGAAGCAGGTCTGATTTTATTGCACAGTTACCATGTATAAATACCCAGGCAGTAGCTAAGCAGATTACAGGTAGCCACCAATGCAATGTCTGCTAACTATCCTTGCAGAGACCAATCCAGGAGTGGGCAGTGGAGCAAGCACAGGGACTGCAACACATGGCCTCATGCCCAGGGCTGTGCCTACAGGGTAAGTGGCCGGCYGCTCACATTCCTAGCACKAGGGGAGTGGCCTGCCACTAARATGCCCTTAACRTATGCCATGTATGCAGTGCTCCATGCACTTGTCCCCACAGCTGACAATCAGGGTCTGATGAACTTGTTGAGAACCTGGAATGCTCACACACTGCTAGTGCAAAGACTAGATAGCACAACTCTGAAACTCTTTGGAGTATCTGCTTGTGCTGAACACGTGCCTTTCTGCAGTGTATATATTAGAAATATGTGCCTGCCTGCGAACTAAGTAGAAAGTACAGGAATTTTCATAATAGTTTTTTTTCCCTTATAATCCTCAAACACTAGATACTACTGAAATGTTTATTAGCACTTGCATGGATAAATATTTGATATACCCACAGCTGGAGTACTTAATATCAATGGGAGTAAGTGATCCTCTAGCCATACACAAAMATGTAGACTAATGTCACAAACAGAATATTGAAAAACCCTGAATACTAAAGAGTACATAGTTAATTATTTTATTTAGATAAGGTGCTAAAGCAGGGTAGTACTGCAMTCCCATCAAATCTCTCTAATTTGCATAAGCAGCAATAATGATAATAAATAGTCACATCAGTCTGGCTGGGCACAAATCACAAGCCACTCAAGCAGGAACAAACTTTATTTCCAAACTCACCCGAAAGCCACCCACGGGGTCCTTCCAGCGACCACACACCAACCGGAAATCCCTCCACTGGAACTCCACCCACCAACTCGAACTCTTCAGGAATCCCCTGGAGAGCTCAACCGGAACTCAAGGGGATCCTCGAGAACTCAAAAGTCATCATCTTAATGGCTCATAGGCATCACCTCTCAACCACTACTTCTGGCAAAATGCCAGGGGCCATTCCGACTTGGCTGTGGCTCTCAACAACATCATAATGTTGACTTGAGGTGATTGTGGCTTAGAAGTAAGGATTAAAGGTGAGAAAATGGAAAATAACAGTTGTGTGAGAAGATTCTTCATGTACTTTGGCTTTGAGTCATAATCTGTCATCTTTTGTAAGCAAGTTCATGTACACCTCAGGTTGCATGAGGCTCTTGTTAGATTTTCTTAATAATAAAAATTAATTAGTTGAATGATTCAATAATCAAGTTCTATCTCYTGCACTTCTTCAATTGTAGTGAGGCAATTTCATGCTCATGGTGTTCTGATACAATATTAAGACCCCTGCTTTGGACACTTCTGCAATCCTTTCTCCATTCCCKATTTAGTTTCTAGGATGTCCCTCTGGAACCATTTCTCCATGGTCCCTCAGGCCTTCAATAGTCCTCACAGCATTTCCCTCTTACAGAAACTCTTCAGGGCTGGGTGGTAGGTGGGTCTGGGCAGAAACCCATTAGAAGTTCAAAGAATAGAGAGCAAACCTCTCTCCAAAATTACTGGGAATGTTAGGGAGCAGGAGAGCTGACAAGACAGTGTCACATGGTCCCCTCTGGCCTGCTCAAAGTCCACATGGGCAGCAGCAGGGCGGGAAGGTAACCAGCACAGGAGGCTCTGCTACATTTGGGTGATCCTGACACCAGTACAAACAGTACTGACAGCTCCTGACAGGAACCCAGAATTCCTATAATTCAACTGCTTTGAAGAATTACGGAGGTTTTCAGAAACGATGGATATGCTGAGTTTGCAAATTCCTAACAGTTTTGGAAAATAATGTTTTTTAGTTTCAATTGCTCTCATTCTCTGTCCATAGCTCTT